AATTATTATAATTATAATTATAATTATAAAGCTACACCCACCCACCATTATATATAAATAAATAAATAGAGAGCCCCCCCTCGTTCCTATAATCATGAGCTCGTGGATCAAATACACACACGCATATTTTATTTTCTTTATTTTTCTTTATAAAAAGGACCACTTTTTTATTTTATTTTATTATTATTATTAATTACTTGATATTTTCTATCATTTTTAAATCATTATTAAATGTATTTGAATAAATAAAAATTGGAAATACTTTTAAAATATTCTAAATCATAAATGATAGCAAACATCTTAACTTTATCTATGAGTTTGTTCTTTGGTGTTTTCATATTAAATAATTATTCTCACATGAAAAACTTCAAAATTACAAAAATGCAAAAAAAAATAAAAAAATAAAAAAACCCATCATTTCAAATGAATGATCTTTAACTTTAAGATGGAAGTAGTAATTATTAAAATGCATACATATGTTTGGTTCTAGGAAAATTATTGAATTAATAATTAAGTTCATGAGTAGGGAAATGATTAAAATTGAAAAAGCTTATTTCCAAATATAAATTTAATTATTATTATTAATATTATATATATTCTATGGAAGAATGATGATTGAATGTGCATGCGTGGAGGAATATTAAATCCGACAAAAATCAAGAAAGGCCAAACAAAACATGTTGGACAAGTGCAAGCATGCATGTCCTGTTACACCATTGCACATTATATATATATAATATATATATATATATATATATTCAAATATTTCATTCGAGAAAATTAAAAATTAAGATGATTTGGTCGTAAATAAAAAAAATAATACTCTATGTCTCAGCTATTTTGTCCACTTTAGTTGGAGTATGGAGTTTTAGGTATGAGGTAAATAATTAAAAAGTATATTAGTAAAAAAATAATTAGGATATAATAAAAATAATTATAAATTAAAATTAAGATTACTGTTTAATTAAAATAAAATTTTTTAAATTTTAAAATGTGATTAAAGTGTATAATTATATTTTTTTTAAAAAAAGAAAGAGACAATTTATGTGGGACGGACGGATATGAAAAGAGTGGACAAATTAAGTGGGACGGAGAGATTAATATTTTATTTAATTATTAAAAATAATTAAAATAATTTTGATATTTTTATCATTTATACGTTATCCATAAATTAATTGTATTTATAATTTATATAAACATTAAAAGAATATTTTAGTGTTAGTGTATGATTACTTTTACTATAATAATCTCTTTGTTGGAGTCAAATATACTCATTTGATTTTTATACGCAAATTTAAGTATATTAATATTTTATAGATATTTACACTTGGCATTAATGATATTGAAAAAATAATGACAGAAAGTAAAAGAATTTTTCTTTTTAATTTAGTTAGGAAGTATTTTTACTTTAAAAAAATATATATTTTTTACTTTGGATAAACGAAAATAACAAAATAAATACCTTTAAATCAACGAGCAGAGAATGAATACCCTTGAAAGTATTTTAAGTCATTGTTACACCGATGTTACCTTAGTTGCAAACATGCATTTTACCAATTTTGTGATCGAAGATTTTGAAAAATTTAAAATATTTAATATGAAAATTATATTATGTTCCCGGTAAACAATTAAATTTATTAATGCATATATTTTATAAACTAAAGTGGATTTTTCGAATTGATTCCAAACTCGGCGATTTTTTTTTAAAAAAAGGACGAGATATATTTTGGAGGTCAAGTCTTTTTGGGATGTGCAAAACCTATTCCGAACCAATCTTATTGCCATCTCTATTGAATGTGTTGTTTTGAATAATAAATAATTTTTATATAATATTTCAAATAAAAATAAATATTTAATGTAATATTAAAAATAGTATGCATATATATATATATATATAAATACATAAATGTGCAATTAATTAATACCTTTTTGTATGGGACGCCCTAAAAAGAAATTCAGCCAACTTATCAATTATCATAATGGGCCTACATGCAAATCAAGCCCATTTTGTTTAAGATATTTTCAAATTCCCCCCAAATTGAGATTAAGTAATAAAACTTATGGTCTTGTTTACTTACGTTTTTATTTTTATTTTCTTATTATTTATAAAAACATTATCTCTAAAAAAATTACATAAAAGATCTATTAAATTTCATATGGTATTTTATAATATTATTATAATAATATATAAAATGTATGATTTTTTTTAAGTTATATTAAAAATACAATTATTAAAAAAAAAAAAACAGATCAATTTTAGAGGAAGGAAGTACATATATATATATATATATTAATTTTTTCTCATGAACTACTGTTTAAACACAATAATACATTGGAAAAGTGTTCAATTATATTAGAATATATTCCATGGCTCTAATAGCCTTGGAAATTTTTAAGACAACAATTTTAATTATTATATCGAAATTAATTTTCAAAATAATTATATCTCCAAAAAAACACTTAATTTCTGCTAGTACATACATTTTTGGAACTATATTTGAATAATACTTTTATATATTATTATTATTATTATTATTATTATTATTATTGAGTTAATTAATTAATAGAGTAGGCAACTGAAAAAAGGGCACATTAAGTGGTCATCATGTAAGCCTAATCACTTGTGCTTAGAGAGCATTAATAATATCAACTTTCGGTATATATTATAATAATTTGATCCTATCTATATATGTTATTATATAATATAATAATTATACCACCAAAATTAACCAAAAAAATTATAGTAATCATAAAATAAATCCACATTTGATCCAAATTAATCATTTCACACACATGTAGCTACTAAATGGTTATATATGTTTATTTTGGTGGATAACAACATGCTAGAAATCTCATCTCACTCTCTCTCTCTCTCTCTATATATATATATATAATTTCAATTCAATTAAGATTTTAGGGTTTTGTATATATATATATATATGTTGTCGGATATTGAATAAGTGTCTCACCTAAAAGTTCGAACTGTTAGGAAAACGCAGTAATCAATTATCCGCAAACGGGAGTCCCCAATATATGTTAAGTTATTAAAAAAAAAAAAAAAGTTTTAATCAGAAAATCTAAAACTAACATTGCCCAATGATATACTTAGGATAATTAAGTTTATATCACATCATTTTAAAATAATCTTGAATAAATATAATGGTTAATTAATCCGCAAATACAAGCATGTATCTAAGGCTACGCATATACTAATTAATTTTATAAGTCGAATCGAAATTTGGAACACATTATATATATCTATATACTCTCGAGTTGAGTCAAAATTAATTCGAGTAGAATTTTTCCCTCGAGCTCGGGTCAATTGATTCTTTTGTTATATTAAATAAAAGAAAACTTGTAAATTCATGAATTTTTGTTAAACAATTGTAGAATACAATTATATCATATATATATTTTTTTTCTTGTCTTTTGATTTTGTGAATTTTATGTGAAATGAGAGATTAAAAGCTCCAACTCAAAATTAATTAGTATATAATTATTGTTTAATTGATGGTGGGATAATTATACTTATCCATTTGGATCACTTTTAGTAATCTCCAATTTTCTTGATTATCTTCAATTTGATCACATTTCTTGAGATTTTAAAGTTTATTATATGCCTAGCTTTTAATCAATATATACATCAAGTATGACATATATATATATATATAATATAAACTACAAATTTATTTTCGACTCAACTCGTATAAAAATTTATTGAACTAACGTTTATTAGGCAATACAATTTGGTTGTTCAACAAATGAATTAATCCATAACATTGCTTTCATTAAGGCTATTTCTTCTCTTTAAGATTTTATTATTATTATAAAAAAGTCTGCATTTTTCGAAAAAAAAAAATACATTTTTTCCTCTCACAAAACATCATATCAAACATTATTTAAATACAAAATCCAAAGCAATTTTTTCTAAACTCAACCAAAAGAAATACACCGTATGTAATTCTCATAATTTATTTTAGTCACCTAGCTTATATTTTAAATTTTGCTTCCACAATATTTATCATATATATATTACTTAAAAGTGTGTTTAGTTAGATGTAATCTCTTATAAGATAAAATAATACTCCCTCTCTCCGGCGCTCTCATCTACCTTTTAGGTCATTGTAACTAATATTAAAAATATCTTTATATTTGTATTATTTTTTTCATAAATGTCATTGTAATAGAGTATTATAAGACATTAATAGAAATATTTTTGTCATTTTCCCTTATTTTGTACTATATTTTTATATAATAATTAATATTCAAATATCAACACACAGATGCAATATATTTTTTATAAAAAAAAAATGAATTACATTAAATACAAAATATCCAAATCTTTTCGAACAATATTAAAATTATAATATATAATGGTGCACTAGGAACCGTTGGTGGCTATATATATAGAGGCACATATTTATATTTATTTATTTATATATATATGTTTATTTATTTATATTATATGATTGCAATGATGAGACAAAATGTGTGTATGCACATTTAGGAGAAAAGGGCATTTAATATATAATGTGTAGAGCAACCCAACAATAATAAAAGTCAAGAATTTATATATAAAAATGTGTATGTATATATATATATATATATTGCTGGCACAATCTAATCAGTATCTCGCACATTCTTTTTTATTTAATTTTGGGTGGTCCAATCTAAGGGTTTGTAATCATTTAATTCCCCCATCCAAAATGCCACAACTCTTTTAATTTAATTTAAAAGTTTTTTTTTTTGTTCTAAAAATTTAATTTATCTACTTGTTGATTAAGTTAATATTTTTTAAAAAAAATTTATGCCTTAGTATTTAAAACTAGATGATTCTTTCACAAATTTCACAACCCATGAATTTTTATTTTTATTTTTTTTACTATTTTATAACTCTGTATATAGTATATATATATATATATTATATTTCACCATCATGTTTAAATTATAATAAATAAATTCACATTTAAATGAATAAAATGAGGATATTAAAGTTCAATTGACCTTGAATAATTCATTAGCTTCTCATAATAAAAAAATATTACATGACATGATCAAAAACACAAATAATTTACACTCTTGTAAGTCACAATCCACACACACACACACTCACATATATATATATATATATTTATAATAGCAAAAATAATCAAACCCTAACTAGATCTAACTTAATTGATTGGTCAAACCCTTGACTACATGTTAGATACTAAAATCAATTTTGCCCTAATACAAAATTGTATGTACAGCTTATATATATATATATATATATATATAAAAGACTCTTCAAATCATGAACACCATAACCCTAGCTGCTTCTCTTCTTCTTCATCCATCCATCCATCCATCCCCAAAACTTCTTCAATTTTTGGGAATTTGAAGTGCTCAAACCCTAATGATATATATATATATGTCAAGAAAACTATATATATATATATATATATGGATGGAATAATATTAATTAATATCAGAAAATGTGTGATTAGGTTTTTGCAAGGAATATGATTGTGGCCAAGAAAGATGCATTTCTGCTTGATCTCTCCAGCACTTCTTTATGTCATCTGCAATGTTCTTGGCATCCATCGATGCCCCGAGAAGTCCGCGCTTCGTGAAGCCGACTGCATACAGCCCGCATTCGCCTTTCCAAGTGTTCGGAAATGGCCGCCGTGGGAGCCCATCTTTTTCGTCGAACATCTCGCTTTCCTAATCATTTATCAAAAATCAAATAAATATATATAAAGCTTGGAAACAGGTGCTGCTGCTAATCTAATCAAATCAGTATTGTGCTAATTTGATTGAGTCAACATATCACATATACTTTTGCATAACACAACATATGCTGATGTTTCATAAATATGCTACTCCATCTTCTATTTCCGTCCGTCCTAAAAAATGTTACAATTTTTCTAATTTAGTAATTGGACTACCTATCTAACATAATATATACCCTTCCAACTTACACTATATTACAAAAATATCATTACTTTTATATTATACAATACTAATAAGGTATTTTTTTCTTTTTCACTAAAACTCAATATAATACTAATATTAAAAAATCTATATACAATAAGTAAACGACAACCTTTCTACCTTTCTACGTGAATGAGAGAATATAATAGTATATAATATATGTTGAATACTTTTTTGTGATATGTTGACTCAATAAAGTCTTTATATATACACTACAAAAAAAAATAGTATATTTGTAACGGAATTTCGTTCCTAAAGTTTACGTAGCTAACGTAATTCCATTCCTAATTCCGTCTCTAATATCATTAGTAACGAAAAAAATGGATTTAAGAACAAAAAATCTTGTTACAAAATTGATATTTTTTTGTATATATATATATATATGTAAAGGTTATAATTGTAGGTACACACACCTTTAGCCAATATGGTACATTGCTTTTGTAACCAGTTGCAAGAATTATTGCATCATAGTTGTCCCTTGTTCCATCCACAAATTCCACTGTTCGATGCCTCATTAGCCTCTGAATTCCAGGACATACCTAATTTTACACATATCCACATCCCATTAATTCTTCAACACTAAAATCAACATGAAACATTTTCTTCAAAAAGATAAAAAATAAAAAAAATCTAAACCATCCTAGTAAGTATATGCAATTAATTAAAATACAAAACTTATGAGATTTTTGTAGTGCCATATACGAAATATTGCAACAAACAAATCAATCCAGCAAAAGCAAAATAATAATTGAGGAGACAGTAGTAAAGCATATACATATATATATAGAGAGAGAGAGAGGGGGGGAAGAGAGAGAGAGAGAGAGAGCAGTAAAGTAATAAGTACCTTGATGTCCCCCTTTTTGATCTTGTGTAGGGTTCCGACGTCGAGGACGGGGGTCTTCCCGGCGAGGTTCTTGAGCTGGAGGGGGCCAAGCCGGGGCCGGTTCAGGCCGAACCGGGAAGTGTCCCCCAGGGCGAGCCGGGAAGCTAGGAGCAAGAAACAGTCGACAAGAGTGATTGGGAGCCACTTTAGCAGCCACATGGACAGCCCGAAAGTCGATCTGCCCAGCATCTCTCGTGGCAGAATGTGCACCTAAATTCATCATCGTCATCATCATCATCAAAAGCTACACACCAGGTAATATACAGACCTAAAAAACACATTAATGGGGTGGGTGGGTAGGGGAGGGGAGGGCAGGGGGGCCTTATTTTAGTTATTTAATAACTTTCCAAATAGTAGTATTTAAAATCACATGTAGTAGTAATTTTTAATTGGGTTTGATTTTGGCAGAATTATTAATGGCTGCGCATGCTCCAGCCCCCCAAGAAAGTGCAAAATAGATTCATTGATTTATTTTATTTTATTTTTTCTTTCTGAATCTCAAGAAAAAGTACAATTCTGTATGTATATACATATATTATACTGAAAATCTTGGTGGGGGGTTTTTTAACGAAAAAATATGAATTTGAGTAGCGAAGATCTAATTGGGAATTAGGGTTTTCAGAAAGGAAGAAGACGACGAAATTGAAGGATTCCTGAGACAGAATCTCATCTCATCTCGCATGCAATAAATATATATAATTGGGAAGCTTAGCGATGAAATTAATGGAGGAATTGAAATAAAATAAAAATTGGAATTATAATTTTTGAATTAGAATTCGTACTGTATCTCGAACAACCAGCGACGGCGTAGCATTATGGTTGCAGAGGTCGAGGCAGACTTCCATGCCGGAATTTCCGCAGCCGACGACGAGGACCTTCTTGCCGGCGTAGGCGCCGCCGTTCTTGTAGCCGCTGGTGTGGACGACGTCGCCGTCGAATTCGTCGATCCCGGGGATCGCCGGCACGACGGCCTCGGCATTCTCGCCGGTGGCGACGATGAGCCACTGGCAGAGCCACTCGACTCCGGCGGCGGTCCGCACCCGCCACCAGCCCAAACTCCGGTCGAACTCCGCCGTCTCCACTCCCTGATTGAACGCCGGCCGGATTCCAAACCGCCGCGCGTACTCCTCCAGATACTCCACGAACTGCCGCTTCGACGGGTACGTCGGATAGTTCGCCGGAAATGGCATCAGCGGCAGCTCGCAGAACTGCTTCGGCAAATGGAGGCGGAGCCGATCGTAGGTCTTCAGCTGCCATAGCGACGCTATGCAGTTGGATCTCTCCAGCACCATCGACGGCACTCCTTGCTCCTTCAGGCACGCCGCCGCCGCCAGCCCCGACGGTCCGGCGCCGACGATGACCGGCCCCGGCACCCACACACACCTCTCCGGCGCCGGCGCTGCCAGTTTCGAATCCCGGCGACAATCGTGCGCCGCCTTGCCTTCAATCTCACGTAGGTAATCATCCATCACACAAATCAATCAAATCAAATCAATCAGAAATCCCCAATTCAATCGACGACGACGAAGAAGAAGAACACAGGTTGAATGTGTGAATTTAAACCTAAATTGGACTGGATTAATTAACTACTGTAAAAAAAAAACCAAGTATGGATTGGGGAAGAAACATGTGGTGAAAATGGAAGGAGGGAGGAGGGAAATTAGGGATTTAGAAAGCTTAGGTGTTGAATTTCTATGGCTGCCGATTTGAAGACGGATCGATCTCTGTAACTAATGCAGCAGAGACTGAGTATTGATTGGAAGCCCTCAAGAAGTGGAGCGGATCAAGAGAACAACAAATTCTTATCCACTTGCACTCATCAACAAATAATAATAATAATAATAATATATTTAATTTAAAATTAATTTAAATACACAAAAACAAATTTGGCTATCTGTGTGGTTGAATCTGAATTTCAGGAGAGAGAGAGAGAGAGAGGAGAGAGAGAGGGAAGAAGGCTACGGGGCTGAGCAATCAGCATTCATTGAGAGCATTCACTCACTGATCACTATGATGTGTCTGTGTATTCCATTTTCAACAATCTCAAGAAATTCAAATATAAAATAAAAGTTAATTAAATTGAACAGACCAAATTCATACGTAAGATGTAAGAATATTAAGGAATAATGGAGAGTTTGAATATGGAAGGTAAGAAAAACACTCAGAAGCTGAGAGAGACTACTGCAGAGGTAAAGAGAAAGAAGGTTATGGCAGTGGGTCATATATATATATACACACATATACATACAAACATACATACATACATACATCTCTCTATATATAATATATATATATACACAAGGCTAAATTGTACAAAATTCACTCGTAATTTCACCAAATGGTGTCAAATCCCTTATATTTTTAAAACTGTCTGAAATTCCCTTATTCGAATGCGTCAACTGCGGATAAATTTTATAATCTCAATTTCTAAAACCCCTTAAATTAAAAATATATTTATTGTTCTTATATTTAATTAAAAAAACAAAAAAAAAAGTAAACTTTTAAAACCGATAAGAATAACTATTTTTTAAAGTATATTTACTCTTTTTTTTAGATTGAATAATGACAAAAAGGATTAGACACGAAATTTATGAAAATTTAACGCAATTTCAAGAAATCAGGGTTTGTGCAATTTGACCTCTATATATATATACATCTATAGTTATGTATCTATCATATCATAGGTCTTGGGTTTGTGGAGATCAGCAACAGTGATGTGATTTAAACTAACAATAGAGAGAATTAAATAAATCCAAACTGCGTAAGTAGTAGTTAAGTGTTACTAATATTAATTATAAATAAATAAAAATTGGGAGTCACATCAGAACGTACTGTTTCTTTTTGAACACTAATTTATTTTATTTCATTGATAGGGAATGGAATGGAATTCTGTTTTATTTAAATACTACTGCTAAAAATAATTATTTGATATATACTATTGTAGAAACCATATAAGGTCAGAAGTTTGATGTGACTGACTGTTTGATTTGTAAAACCTCTTTTTTATTTCTTTAATTTTGTAACTAATTAAGATTCAATATTTCAATGTATTATTATTATTATTATTATTAGTATTTGTTTTTTAATGAGACACTTATATCTTCTCAATATTATTATTATTATTATTATTATTATTTTAAGACCCATGTAGCACTTAATTTTAAATAATACGAGGTGACGTCAGGACATCCGTCATAGTCGAAACTTGGAGGTAATCATTGGACTATCTCAATTGTTTAATTGAGTGCTTTATATATTGTTAAGTAGTTTGGCTAATTAGATTTTTTGGAATTTAAACAAAATAATAATAATAATAATAATAATAATAATAATACTTTCTCGTGCCAGATGGCCTGAAGCGTGGTCACACGATCCAACTCCTATACCACCAGGTCATCCCTCAAGGACGCGGTAACTTTAATTCTTCATTTAACCGGAGATTGGTAGTTATAATATTATATTATTTATATTTATATTTTATTAAAAGCAAAATAAGGGTTTGGACTTCGGGAAGAAACGATAATGGGCTGGGCAGGTTGAAATGCCTTTTGATAATATACAAACCTGAAAGCCATTAGGCATACCACTAACTTAATAAAATATATATATATATATATACATATATGTGTGAATAATATATAATATTAAATAAAATAAAATATGTTTCAGATTTTTTTTTTCTTTTTAATTTTTGTCATTTTGTTAAAATATATATGTTTTGACTCAATCTTATCATATTGAAATTTGATGTACTAGTCAATTGTCACCAGAATTTGTCATATATATATATGCTGACAATATATAAGTAGGGTTTGCTCTCTTGGAATTATTATTATTATTATTATTATTATTATTATTATTATTATTATTATTATTATTATTATTAATTCTTAATTTTTATTAGAAAATATTGTATTCAATACTTATTTTTATAAGAAAGATTGCATCCAATAATCAATTAAGCTCAAAATACCAAAATAAAACACAAGAAAACACCAAATGAATAAAAAAAAAAAAAAAACACTAAATTAAGTAGGGTTTGTTTGTTTAGTGTTCTAGTTTGAGATTTTTTTTATTTTTTATTTTTATGAGGTATAAAAAATTGTGTATTTAATATAAATATATATATGTTTTATGTTAAATTTTTTATGAAAGAGTAAAAAATATATATTCTATATATATATATATATATTAGAAATCGTGTCGAAATATTTGGCTCATTTTGCCTTAATTTTTGTTTAAGTTATTTTCCCATACAATCTTCTCTATTTTCTAAATAAATATACTCTCATAAAACATTACATCCAAACTATTATTTAAATCAAAATACAAATACATTTAAAATCAAATCTCAAGTAAACAAAGGAGATTATTTCCGGTTTTTAGCAAAATAAAATAAAATAAATTATTAAGTCTATTTTTTTTTGGATAAATTTCCTTTATAAAGATTTGATTTTATTCTTTTTTTTTTTTGTGATAATTATTAAGTCCACGTTCATTATGTTATATAAAATTATAGTTGGGAACTCTTTTGAATTCCCATGGGGTAACAACATTTAAAAAAAAAAACCACTTCAATTCATATATCATTATAATTAGTGAATATAAATAAATAATATATATATGTAAAAAAACAAATTAAAGTGTGTGTGGAATGCAAATAAAAGCAATCCCATTTGTGTTAAGTTGCCGAGCAATAATATATTGGTGTCCTTTTATTGATTGTTATTATTAATTGAATTAGGAGAATAAAAAAAATAATGATGCATAGTTTTTAAAAACATTAAAAAAATAATATTCCCTCCGTCCAGTTAAAAAGTATACATATTTTTATTTTGGGACATTCAATTACAAAGTAAACATATCATTAAATACCTCATTTTTTTTCCACAAATATCCTTACTTTACATCATATCATTACTTTTACACCAAAAAGGAGGGGCAAAAATATCATTTTACTACTTTTAACTCTATAATTAAAATACTATTATTTTTTAAACATCATGCCAAAAGTAAATGTTTAATTTGTTTGTAGACGAAGGGAGTATTATATTGGACATTAATTTATATTTAAAACACTATACTAATACCTATTTATATTTTATTAAATAATTATTTTATTTAAATTTTTACTACTCAAAACCCACAAACAAACAAACACAATGAGATCTCTCTCACTAATCACATATGACATGTTAGTGTGGATTGTTGGATGACACATTATTCCACAATTACTTTGGCTCTATTTACATATGGTTTTTAAATGTTTTTGAGTTATGAAAGAATTAAAGTTAGTAGAAATTAAAATAAAGTACTTATTTCATATGATATGTTATTTTAAAAAGATAAATATTTGTAAAATTATTACTTATTATAAATAAATAGTACAATTTTATTTTATTTTTTAAATGTATATATATATAAATATATCATTATTTATTCAATTCCTCTTATGGAAAACAGTTTGATTGCTTGCTCTCATCTTTGGCTTTCCTTTGCCTTTTTCAATCATTGGCTCTCTCTTTTGAAATATATATAGATATATATATATCATAAATTAAATCCTATTGCAATCATCAATTAAAGATCTTATTAGTTTGTACATCACTATAATATTATGTTTTTAAAATGAAGAAATCAAGAAAAGCAAGAAATCACAGTAACATAAAGATGTATTGATCCAGTTTAATCAAAATGATTTACATCTGAAGACGGTCAAATCAGATATATTCACTAGTATTTTTAGGTGTGAAATACATAAAATAAAATAAAAAATATCGTCATATGTGATATATATATATACACAAAAGTATAGGTCAAAAACCCTAAAACGCAAACATTTCAAATTAATTATTTTTTCAACTTAACTTTCAAACATGTCATATACTCCCTTCGTCCCTTAACAATCTATCTATTTTTTCATTTTGGTATGTCCTATAACAAAGTGTCCATTTCTATTTTTCGTAATTGTACTATTTACCTAACATTACAAATATCCTTCCAATTTACAATATATTACATAAATGTCATTACATTTATATCATACAATACTAATAGGGTTAATTTAGTCTTTTTACTTTTATTTCTACTTTATCCCAATATAATATTAATATTTTTAAAACTCCGTGCATAAAAGCAAATAGATATATAGATATGGGACGGCAGGAGTATATTGCATAGCATTTGTATTACCTAATTAATTTACACTTTGCACTGTTTTATTTGAAAACCACTTACTCATCTAATTTTAGGTACATTTGGTGCTTGCTTTTTAGAGAAAATTCATGATTGGTTTTCTTGAGAATTTTTTGTATTTTTTCCCCATGTATTTTTAGATAAAATAATGATTTTCATTTTTAAATTTTGGATATTGGTGTTTTTTTAAAAGTGAAATAGTTAGATAATATAATATGTTTTGAATAAAAAATAGATATTGGGCATGTTATTTTAAGAATAAATAATCAAGAATTGAATAGTGAAAAATAGATATAAAACATACAACCAAACAAATCTAAAGGGTTTTGGTTCGAGTTTAAATTTTTTTTTTTTGAATTTTAATTAAAATAGTATTTTGATATAATTATTTTTTGAGAAAAAATAATACTATTTTTATTAATGTGTTTGTTTTGTATTTTGGTTCGAAGGAAAAAAAAATTATATGAGGTATAGAGAATTGTAGAGATAATATAAAAATAGTGAGCGTGTGTAATATATTAATATTTTTGAAAAAATATGTTAAAAATTTTTTTGCCAAAGAAACGAATTTATTTGAAATAAAACCGAACACATCTAGATAATTAATGTTTGGAATCAAATTTAAGTACTAAACTATACTCAATAAGAAGATAATAAATTTAACAAATATAGTATAAATAAAAAAAAAAAAAAAAATTTGGATTTTGATTAACAAATTTTGGGATAATTTTTTAATGAATAGTGTTTATATAGTGAATGAATTCAAAATGTGTTGTTTAGTTATAATTTGAAATTGATTTGAAATTAAATATTGATTTAAATTTTTGTCAATACTTTGTTGATATGATATTTTAAAAGAAAAATAATATATTTATATATAGATATAAGGAATAATAATAATAATAATAATAATAATAATTTATATTTAAAATTAATTCCAACTAATCAACCATAAAATGTATTTTTTTGGCCTAAACC